AACTTTCTAAATAAGTATATAACCTTACTTTATAGACCCACGAGTCCACATGAAAACATAACGGGTTCATTCATACGAAGGATGTGAAAATCAATAATGTAAACATGTACATTGGTGGCGTACGTGGTCCCTGCTTATCGATTAACTATTATAGGGTTTTGCTTTTATGCTTCAAAAAAATGAAAAAAAAAAATTTAAATTTTGGAACTTTGGTAATTGGCACCATGTTCGTGTGCCAACTAGTTCACAGCTAGTCATCACCATAATTTTTTTTTTCAACAGCTTCATATTTCTAGAACGATCTAGAAAACTAGATCGATGGAGTTGAGTTTACATAATTTAAATGATAAATGTAGTCTCGAGCACTTCATGCTAACTTGTCCACCTTTGTATTCTACATACGGAGATCTTTAAAATTGAGAAGAAAGCAAACTCTCTTTTGGTCCTTTCATATTCCTCCAAATATAGAGAGAATGTCAACCACTCTGCTGAATTTGACACCATCTGCACCATAAAATTATAGGTGGAAAAATTAAACACACGCTTAAATATCAGAATTAGTTACTAATTACCATAATTTTCAAGTTCTTTTTTGTTTTATCGTGAACCTCCAGACATATTAGGTCATACATGGACGGAGTAAAAAAAGCAAGATTAGAGCCAAAGGTGCAACAATCACCAACTGAGTTACAAATACATGTTATAATCCATTAAAAACTATATATTAATTTGGATATATACAAGTAATCGCCTAGATTATAAATTTTTATGATTGGTAGGCAGATCCTATAAAACAAGGAGGGTTTAAAAAACAAAGACAAAATGAAATTGAGAAAAAGACAACAGAACTTCATTTTGTCATTTATATTACGAAGATGAAAGAACATGTCATACCTGTGAATTGTTTTTGTTTCCCTCATACCTGTGAATTGTGATGATGAATAAATGAAGTAGATAGGTTATAAAACATATTGTACAGATTTAATTCATTAAATATGGACCCTAATCTATTGTATAAGTAAATCATTAAATTATAATACAGATAAGGTTTCATAAGTACAGACAAAAGCTGGATTACGAAAGTCAAACCCTCTCTCAAGCCTTCGCTGTCTCCATTTTCTTAAATAAAGTTCTTTTTAGTTCTTAAATATAGTTTTGCTCATTGTTCCTGACTACTTTTAATGATCTATATATATGCTGTTTCTGTCTTTTTGATTATCTATATATGCTAAAGCATAGTCTTACGGTGAACTAATTATTGTAAATCGGAGTTAATAAAATTTGGGGTTAGAAAGAAAAAAACATAAGCCTCAGAAGAGAAATCATTATCAAGGTGTTTTCCCCAACTAATAAGGTGAAAAAGATAGTTTTTTTGGTCTTGGATGATCATAATTCATCAGGGTCCCTAGTCATAAAAAAATATTTTTATTCAAATTTATATAACAAACAAAGTGAGTAGCCTTTTACTCTACTAGTTTCTTTGCAATCTTCCAAAAATCTTGTGTTATACTTATATGTGACTACCGCCATGTAAATACAAATGACAAATTTGTATTGACATTAATGTCGGTCATCTTCACGGGAAATTTGATATGCGCGTTTGCATATTCTTCTGTTAACTTTAGTCTTTTCATTTTTTAAAATATCATTTTTTTCACTTTAAAAGAATATCACCACTGTTTACTTGATATGATTAATAATTTTAATCATTCGTTTAAACTTACCTTTAGAAGGTTAATGAACATTTATAGAAGAACAATTCAATTTCGTTTGATTTTGATGCGAAACACATCTAAATTACATAGGCACATACATGGAATTTTATTTGATCTTCCAGAATATTTGAATTAGTATATTTTGTTGAATATGTTTTAGTGACATTAGTTTTGTTGGTCTATGTAGTAAGCTTTGTCTTGACTCCTAATTTTATTTCGTTCTATGTGAAATGAAATTCATAACAAAGCGATTGTGGTTTAGTTTCTTTGTTTTTTTTTTCGATACACAAAACTTGTGTGGAGAGTTTCATTTTTTTTTGGGATAATTTAGAGTACTCAAACTTTTAGGAGATTCCAAACTAATTATTAGAAGAGTGATAGATCCTCTTTCTAGGTATTTAAATGAGCCGAAAGTAAAAATTTATATCTGTGTGGTCAAATAAAAATTGTTAATAATTTTATGCTTGAGGGAAATCGATTCATAACTTAGACCAACATGTCAACTCATCTTCAAGTGAAATCCACTAGATTACCACCACTTGATTACATTTTACTATTTTGATATTGCACTATCATCAAATCAATTTCTTTGTAAAAAACAATATATATCAAAAAAAATTCCAAATTTAGTTTTGGAGAGACCACAAATAGTTGTTTCTTTTCTGTACTTCCTTAAGGCTTCCTTTACGTGATGGTCTATCTCCATACAGTAACACCATACATTTACACACCGACCTAACTTTGTTTTATTAGTTTTAGCCAAATAAGAATCCATACATATTTCATTTAAAAAAAATATATTATAACTTAAATAAAGTGAAATACAAAAAGTAATATAGGAGGACAACAAAAATTAGGGGATTTTTTTCTTTTTTATTAACTTCAGAAAGTGGTAGTAATGAGAATAAATTGTTTGAATATATAGGGATTCATGTATCAGTGACAAACTAAATAAAAAACCTATGAAAATTTAGATTCTATAACGTTTTGATCTAAAAATTACTTCACAAAACATATTTTAAAAAATAACAATATGGCTTAACACTTGTGAAAATACAAAACCAAAAAGTTTATCCCCGTTTATAGTTTTGTAACTTTTGTTGTTGTGGTTCCAAACAAACAATGATTTTTAAAAAAGCAATTTTTGCTTGATTTTGCATTCTCACAAAACCATACGATCATGAGTTTTTCTGTTCAAATTTGTTATATAAAAAAGGCATTAATTTTACTAAATTTCTATGATCGTTAGTTTTTATTTCTGTACTTTAATAACAAAATGAGAAAATGATTAAAAGACAAAGCACCTCAGTCCTCAGAAACCCAATCCCACTTAGAGCAACACGCGTGTCATCACTTTTGGATCCGATTACTTAATTGCTTTTTTGGATCGCATTGGTGAATCGTATAATTTGCTTTTACATTTGTACATACTAGACAATTAAGATAAATCTGAGCCCACTTTAGTATTGTTGCCTAATTTGCATAGCAAATAATTTAAATCCCAAGGACAAAACCATTTACATTCCGTGAAACGATGCAACCGATACCATTTGTCACATTTCGACTTAATTAAATTTCTTAGAGAGTAGCTCATAACTTAAAAATCAATTTTGCTAATTTTTCTCTCGTTCTAGTTTCAGCTCTGTGACTACAAACAAAGAGAACATATAAATATTTCCTTCGTTTGAAAAAGAGTATTATTTTGATATTTTATTTTTGTTTTAATTTATTAGATAAAAAGAATAACTGTTTTTTTTATTAGTAGATGATACAATAGACATTTACAGAGTTTTCTTAATTTATATATAAAATGTTAGAATGACATTTTTTTTGCGAACAGAGTAAATATTTAATTTCTTAAAAAATTTAAAACTGATTTTAAAGTTATGAGCTACTTTATTACCGTCCAATTGAAAAGGTTGACAAGTTTTTATGATGTATAAATGTGCAGCTGCATCAGTGCAAACTCTTTTGGGAAATTTAAAATATTTTTAATGGAAAATGACGGACTTCAGACGTATCGTATATATAGAGTAACTGTAACTGTGTAGGAACTATATTCAAACTCTAACAATAATTTATATATATATATGTATTTATATTAAACTGTGGATGATTCTTTTGTTGGCTAACCAGATCACGACACATGGATATAACTTTTCAGCCGACCAGTAAACAATAGATCCAATGTCTTTAACCTGCAAAAATAGTTTTGGGAGTCATGTCGTCAACAGTGTGTTTTATAAACCAAATCTTACTTAAACTCAAACAAAACAAGACATTAGTAGGTAAATTATTTGGTTTAATGTAATTTACATCTTGTTCATTCTATAGTTTTCCTTTTTCACTAATAGTAGCAGTTTCCAAATTTCTAATTTGGCTTGATATTTACCTTTTTGGTTAAATACTATTTATGTTTTTTTTTTCACACTAGTTATGGCTTTCACCACCCCCTTCATCCAAGCACATCAACTTAAACCCTAAAAAAAGAAAAAAAAATACTAATTAAAAAATAAACAATTCATTTGGCAATTTTTTTTTCTTTATAAATCATTCAGCGTACATTTATGATTTTATGTATATGAAAAACGCATTAAAATGATTACTCTTTTATTCGGTTACAACTACTTACAAGTAAATTTTACTTTTATATAAAAACGATGTAGAAGAAATTTATACACGTTTAAAGAAAAAACTGTCCTATACAGAGCTGGACTTACATTTTTCATTCTACTTTATATATATTACTTTGTGATAGAATAATCATTACATTTTGTTCAAAAAAAAGTAGAAATCATTAATTAAGGACATCACACGTATATATATAATACATACAAAATAGCCAATAAAACAAAAACCTATATCAAAACAAACAAAAAACAAGAAACATAAATCATCAGTAAATAGTGGAATTGAAAAATAAATAAATAAATAAATAAATTATCCATATATATATATATATATATGGGAGTGGGAGGAGGAGATTGTTTGTCTTCTCTGTCTTCAAATATAAAGAAGCGAAAAAAAAGAAAAAGAAAAAAATCAGAAAGATTTTAATTTAGTGTCGGTGAATTCCCAAACCTTCTCCTCTTTCCTCTCCTCACGTCTTTAAACTCTTTCTCCCCTCCGCATGTAACCGCCTCGCCGTCAAATCTGAAATCCCATCAGATCTTTCTTTAGATTTCTGAATTTCTCGAAAATCAGATCGGGAGAAGAACAAAACGTCGATGATTCTGTAAAGAAGCTCTCTCGAGTTTTGAGATTTTTTTTTTTTTTGAGGCGGTTATGGAGACAGGAACGAAAGTAACGGCGGTGACAGCGACGGTTACGGCGGCGACGATGGGGATTGGTACGAGGAAGAGAGATCTGAAGCCGTACAAAGGGATACGGATGAGGAAATGGGGGAAATGGGTGGCGGAGATTAGAGAACCGAACAAGCGTTCGAGGATCTGGCTCGGTTCTTACTCGACGCCTGAAGCGGCGGCGAGAGCTTACGACACTGCTGTTTTCTACCTCCGTGGTCCTTCGGCGAGGCTTAATTTCCCGGAGCTTTTGGCCGGACTCACGGTTTCAGGAAGAGGAGAAGGCGAAGATATGTCGGCGGCGTATATAAGGAGAAAAGCGGCGGAGGTCGGTGCTCAGGTAGACGCGCTTGGAGCGACGGTGGTTTTGAGATCCGGCGAGAATCTCGGTGATTACGAGGATAAGGAGAATCGTAACGGAACTAAAACCGGTAACGGGTCATTGGAACGGGTCGATTTGAATAAATTACCCGACCCGGAGAATTCGGATGACGATGACGAGTGGGTGAAGAGGAGATAGAAGAGAAACATAAAAAAATTAAAAAAATTATAAAAAAAGTTAGTAGTTGTAGAAGGAGAATGTTTGTCTTTACGATGCGCCTACGTCGCTAACATGCGCCAAAGTTTTATAATCATCTCCATTTTTTTGCTTGTTTCATCATCATCATCATCCTTCGACAAATGATTCAAACTCAACTCTCAAATTGGTCACTTACAAATAGATTGCAAGCGAATTAGCTTAAGATAATCGACGCATTCGAAAAGCCAATACATAATGCTGTTTTTGGTGCATTTCGTTTACTTCGTTGTGTACTAAATAATCATCGCTTAGAGTGGATTTTGTATACATGATGCAAAAACTGTGGTTTAATTATTGAAAATTAGTTTACGAAACGGGTGCTATTTTTAATAACTCCTAATTTTTGCTACCATAAAAGTTGTTAGTGTATAAATTTAAAATTTTGTAAAACAATCCTTTGTTTTTAAAACTAAGAGATACATGTGCACATAACCCATAACAAATTTGTAAAATAAAATCTCTGATCTGGACTATACATTGTTCAATGTACCAAGATCGGTGTTAGGTTTTGTTATGGATAATTTTGAATTGGTGAAAATAGTTTCTAAACTAGAGAAATGGTTAACTTTCGCTTTACACTTGAAAGATTTCAAATACGAGATAAATAAAAAGGAATTTGAGTTTTTTTTCCATCTCACATATTTCACGTTCTAAAAACATAAATACAGAAAAGTTACCATGTAGTGCTCGAGACTATTTTTACAGTTTAAATTATGTAAACTTAACTCTACCAATGTGGTTACTTAAACTATTTCAAGACTATTGACAAAAAAAGAAATTGTAAAATAAAATTTATAGCCTTTAAAATATTCAATATAATTGAGGCTTTGTGTTACCTCATCATAAAGCATAAGATTCAACACAATATCTCAATAGGAGAAAATAATTTTGCGTTCAGTGGTTGGGGATGAAAAGAATTTGATGTGTTAGAAACTAGAAAGTAAAAGATTTGCAAAAAATTGTGGAGGTTGGTGCAACTTTGTCCCGTCCTAACAACTAAAGCTCTAAAATTATCGTAACCACTAAAAGTGATTTGATGTGTTTTGAGGATTATAATGTCGGTACCAAATTACATATGGATATCAATTTTTGGAAGTTTATTTTCTTTTTTTTTGTTTTGGCAGAATTTGGTCGGCAAGATTCTTCTATTTGATACTTTGTTTTCTTTCTTGTAGCCATTGGCAAAAATTCTAAAACGTGAAAAGAGAGGAACGGTTTTGTACAACGGGTGATGTGTGAAACTAAAGATTGAACACAAGTCTTGTGACCACAAAACACAAGACAATCTTTTTTTCAGACATGTTCCGTGTGATCCCACCACAAGTTCAATGAAAAAAAAAAGTGAAAGAAAGTAATAACTGAAAGTGAAATTTCCGGTTTATGATTTTTCTTGACTCCAAAAATTCAAACATAGTTTCGTATGCCTCATGATGAGCCTCTCTGACGTTGCATGAATACTATAACCAAAGTAAAACATAATATTTTATCATTGTTAGGTATGGTTTTGGTTTAGGTTTGTATTTGGGTTTTATTTTTACAATGAAGTCGAAAAAAGAAGATAAAACAGTAAAAGAATAATGCAAATTAAATGGTAGCTCAACAATATATATAACACTTATCTGTAACAAGGCATAAAAATAGCTTTTGGTTGAACCAAAGCAAGAAGTACCGTAAAAGAGAGTACAAACCATACTTCGGTGGATAAACAAACCAAAGAAAGAGGAAAACTTTTTATTTAACTTTTTTTTGCGTAATCATAAAAGTATGGTTAGATTTAGAATCAAATACCCCCAAAGAATCTGCTAACCTAACCCATCAACAAAAACAGAAGCTGATTCTGATTCTACAAAAAAAGACAGAGACAAGTGCACTTACACTTGTTTCGTCTCCTAATTTCTTGGAAGCTTCTAAAATAATGCAATTACTCGACAATGTCTCAAAAGCTTCTCCATTGTTCTCTTATTGTGTATAGCTTTTGCCCTCCATCGAAAGTCAATCGAAAAATAACACAAGACCACACAAGATGTGACAAATTAACATATGTTCTCAGACTAAGGTATCATCATCAACTGTACTTTTAACACAAAGATTCATTACAAAATAAAAAAACTAGATGAATTGTTATACTGTACTGTATATGGTCATAACTTTAGCATGATACTCAAATTAGATTAGACTGAAATCCATAATAACAAAAGCTTTCTATTGAGATATCAATCCAAGTTCCACATCAGAAGATTAGATAGTAATTGTCTAATATATAAGTAATATCCAAATTTGATTAATATGAGGTTTTTTGAAATGAGCCCAAAGATAAATCCTTGCAGACTTTACCATTTAGGCCCAAAACAGACAATATCATACTAATAAAAAAGTTCGACATAGGCTTCAAAAGCCCAACAATTGGTTTTAGAGCCAAGATTCAGAAAGTGGATATTGAAAAGTGGGTTGGACCTACTTGTTCATTGTGGGAGAGTCTTCAAAGTGACCTTGTGATTAAGGGTGCGTACGTTGGTACAAGATGATACAAGATGAGTGTCAAGTTTCGCGAAAAGTTGGAAGCAAATGACTTGTATGGTTCTTGGTTTGAGGGAGAATTATTGGGATATCAATCCAGTCACACATCAGAAGATTAGACAGTAATAATTTAATAAGTAATATCCAAATCTGATTAGTATGAGATTTTTTTGGAAGAGTCCAAAAACAAAAACTTTTGTCACTTAAACCCATAGCTGACAATATCATACTAATATGAAAGTTGAACATGTGTTGAAAAATCCAATACTTTCTTCACTTCATTTGTAAATTATTTTCGAACAGCCATATATAGAAGCGAAAACTCACATTGAGTTGCTTTAAAAGCTACATCAACTGTATAGTTAACCAACATTTTATTAGAATCTGAAACAAGCCAAAGCTCATGGACTATTGAATCCAAAAGCAAGATTGCATAACCAGTGCGTACTAAGTAATTTACAATCCCAATCTATCACAGGAAAGCATCCGATTCTAGCTTCCAAGAAGACTTTCGTAACTGTCGAAAAGTGAAAACATTATAAAAGCAGTGACTTTAGAACAAGAACACATCATTTGACATTCCTTTGAACAGAATCAAAAACAAGAACGTGTACATAAACCACACAATCATGAAAACTCCCAATCGTGAAAAGCTAGAACCCGAATTAACAGAGCTTACCGGAGATTAATTTATCATATCCGGCGGCGGAAGTGGAAGGTTCTCCTCGACGGCGGAGCAAGTATTGGAATATAGGTCTCCGAGAAGAGACAGTCACGAGATGATCACGTGAGATGGAGTGGGGCCCGTGGTGATTACATGAAAAGAATCGGACGGCTGATAATAAAAAAGACTATTTCTTTTACATTTTTATCTTGAACCGTGAAAAAGAATCGGACGGATGAGAATAAAGCAGACTGTTTCCTTTTTACATTTATTTGACGAAAAAAATAAAAGAGTATCTCTTTTAGTAAAGAATCGGACGGCTGAGAATAAAACAGACTATGTCCTGAATGTATTTATCTTGAACCGTGAAAAATAAAAATAAAAATGTTATTTTTTTTTTTAACCTTGTCTAGGGTTTTCGAGCAAAGGCATCATCGTTTCTCACTTGTCTTGAGAGACTTGACCAACTATATAATCTCAACTTTTCTCCATCACTATCCGCTGCGGTATCGCCGTGCTGCCCACAAATCTCCGACTTCGTCTTCGCCATCGCCATCGCCATCGTCGTCGTCCTAATTTATCTCTTTTTATCCCTTAAAAAAACAAAAACAAAAAAACCCCAAAAATCCCCCTTTTGGTTAGGTCTTTCGTTTCTCCTCAATCCAGCTAAAATGGCGCAGGTTCAGGCTCAGGCTCAGGCTCCTTCATCACATTCGTCTTCTCCTCCTCCTGTTATTGTTGGAGACGGGGTGGTGGCTTCCGGCGTCAGCGACGGAGTGAACCACGGTGCTCTGTGTTCGCTCTACGTCGGAGATCTGGATTTCAATGTGACTGATTCTCAGCTCTATGACTATTTCACCGAGGTGTGTCAGGTCGTATCTGTCCGCGTCTGCCGTGACGCTGCCACCAACACTTCTCTTGGATATGGTTACGTCAACTACAGCAACGGCGACGATGGTTTAGTGCCCTAAATTTCTCTCCTTTATTGATATATCATTCGACATTATGTTCTAAGATCTGATTTTGAGTTTTTATAACCGTGTTTTGGGATAATCTGAGTGATGGGTATTGCGTCGATGAGCTGTTTGATTTGTTAATCGGTCAAATTATGTTGCTTTGCCTCTAAATTTGGAGTCTTTGGTTGCAGTTTTAGGGATTTTGTTACTTTGGATTGAGTCTGTTTTTGCGTTTTTTTTTGTGATGACAGCGGAAAAGGCAATGCAGAAGCTTAACTACTCTTACATCAATGGCAAGATGATTCGGATTACTTACTCTACTCGTGACTCTTCTGCTCGTAGAAGTGGGATTGGGAACTTATTTGTTAAGGTATCTCCTTTTTTTTGAACTCTCTTAGTAAAAAAATGTTCTTCAGCTTTCTCTTTGATTGATTCGTTTCTCTTATCTTTTATGATGTGAAGAATCTGGACAAGTCAGTGGACAACAGAACTCTGCACGAGACGTTCTCAGGGTGTGGGAATATTGTGTCCTGTAAGATTGCTACTGATCACATGGGTCAGTCCAAAGGATACGGCTTTGTGCAGTTTGAGAGCGAGGATTCGGCTAAAACCGCTATTGAGAAGCTTAATGGCAAAGTTCTGAATGACAAACAGATCTTTGTTGGACCTTTCCTCCGCAAAGAGGAAAGAGAGTCTGTTGCCGACAAGATGAAGTTCACCAATGTCTATGTGAAGAATCTCTCGGAGGCGACTAATGATGATGAGCTGAAGACTGCTTTTGGTCAGTACGGTAGTATCTCGAGCGCTGTGGTTATGAGGGACGGGGATGGGAGGTCAAGGTGTTTCGGATTTGTCAACTTTGAAAATGCAGAAGACGCAGCACGTGCTGTGGAGGCCCTCAACGGGTTGAAAATTGATGACAAGGAGTGGTATGTAGGTAAAGCTCAGAAGAAATCCGAGAGGGAACTTGAGCTGAGCCGGAGATACGAACAGGGCTCAAGGGAGACGGGAAACAAGTTCGACGGTTTGAATCTGTATGTGAAAAACCTCGATGATACCGTCACTGATGAGAAGCTCCGTGAGCTTTTTGCCGAGTTTGGTACAATTACTTCCTGCAAGGTCAGTGTCGTATATACTAACCATGAGAGATTCGATTATTTGCTGTGTCTTGATTGTTTTTGAAGCTCTTTACTTTTAAAAACAAACAGGTTATGAGAGACCCTAGTGGTACTAGCAAAGGATCAGGATTTGTTGCCTTCTCAGCTGCCAGTGAAGCTTCTAGAGTGGTAATAGATAATTTATCTTGTTTGTTTCAGACATTACTATACTGTTTTGTGTCTCGAGATTCACTCTTCATGTATATGCTTTTGGTTTTTTTTTTTGCAGCTGAACGAAATGAATGGTAAAATGGTTGGTGGCAAACCGTTGTATGTCGCTCTTGCACAAAGGAAGGAAGAAAGAAGGGCTAAGCTTCAGGTAAATACTTGCCACCATTAGTAAACAACCTAAGCTCGTGTACTTGCTTTTGTTTGATCCATCATCATCATAAGTTCTCTTATGGTTCTTGTTTCAGGCACAGTTCTCTCAAATGAGACCTGCCTTTATCCCCGGTGTTGGTCCTCGTATGCCGATATTCCCAGGTGGTGCTCCAGGTATGGGACAACAGATGTTTTACGGTCAAGGTCCTCCACCAATCATGCCTCACCAGGTACCACTCTTTTCTAAGCCGAGATTCGTTTCATTGGATTGTCCTGTGTTCTTGAAGTTGTAATTTGAAATCAGTACTCATCTGATTTACTTGAATCTGTGATAGGCTGGATTTGGATATCAGCCACAGATGGTTCCTGGAATGAGGCCAGGCTATTTCGGCCCGATGATGCAGCCAGGTCAGCAAGGACCACGACCAGGTGGTCGACGGTCAGGTGATGGACCCATGCGCCATCAGCCTCAGCAACCAATGCCCTACATGCAGCCACAGGTTAGTTAGTCACTGCTTTGATTTAAAGAAGAAAAGATGGTTCCAAGATGGTTTCTATAAGCCGTTTCTTTTGCTTTCTTCTCTCGTCTAGATGATGCCGAGAGGACGCGGGTACCGTTACCCTAGAAACATGCCCGACGGTCCAATGCCAGGAGGAATGGTTCCAGTTGCTTATGACATGAATGGAATGCCTTATGCTCAGCCTTTGGCTTCTTCCCTTGCTCAAGCCACACCTGCACAGCAGAGAACAGTAAGTCTTGACTCTCTCTCAATATATAGTCTTTGGAATCGAGTATTGTGGTCTTTGGAGAAGGGTAAAGTTCACTTACATTGTCTGTATTTTGTTTTGGGGTTTGTGTAGCTTCTTGGTGAGAGTCTATACCCATTAGTGGACAAGATCGAGCACGAGAACGCTGCGAAAGTGACCGGTATGCTTCTGGAGATGGACCAGACTGAAGTTTTGCATCTGCTCGAGTCACCAGAGGCTCTGAATGCGAAAGTTTCAGAGGCGTTGGATGTGTTGAGAAACGTGAATCAGCCATCAACGCAGGTGAGTGAAGGCAAGAGTGGAGGAAGCCCAAGTGATCTCTTGGCTTCACTATCCATTAATGATCACTTATGAGAAGCTTTTGTCGGAGTTTTTACCTAACTCTCTTCTCTCTCTCTCTCTCTCTCTCTCTCTCTGATTGACAAAATTTTTGCGGGTATCGATTTGCGTTTTTAGACTTTTGCTCGATATGATTGGTTCTGTTTTGACTTCAAAGGATGGTTTTTTTTGTTGGATGAATCTTTTACTATTGCAAATTTGCGATTGGTGATAGTCTTTTATGTTTGAGTTTTAGTTTTTTTTTTTTAATTTATCTTTGGAACATCAAAAAGCAGGATCTTCTCTGTTAGTTTTGTCACGGTCCTTGTCTAACTTGAGAGAAGACCCAAGTCTCTGATGAATCTGTATTTGCATATTTGTTCTTCTCTTGATCTTCCTGCACAATTGAGTTGGAGCCAGGCGATCACCACTGACTCATCGCCACGTCGTCATGTTGGGAGTGGAGTGAAGTTACGGTCACTTGAGGGTTCAGAGTTCATTTATGATCAAAGACAAAACAACACTCTTTCTTGGGAGACTAAAATATGAAAAGAAAACATGTTAAAGAGTGTAGGAATCAAACTTGCATTAAATATCAGGGGAAAGTAGAAACTCTACAGTAAACCTCTTGTTGACTTTAACCAACCAAAAGCAAGAAGCTCTACAATAGATAACGTCGTCTTCAAGTTGGTTTATTTCATTATTTTCTCCAGTAAATTGCAGTGTAGAGTTGGAGAGATTTGGAGTTTCTGAAGCTTCCGAGGATGGCGAATAAACATTTCTTCCAGCCTCTTCTTCCTGGCTTCCACAGCCACTTGGTACTTTCTCTCTCTCTCTCTCTCTCTCTCTCTCTCTCTCTCTCTCTCTCTCTCTCTCTCTCTCTCTCTCTTTTCTATAACTGTTTATGTGTCTCTCTGTGAAGCTAATCGAGACATGGGGTTTGGTTTTGTATCTGCATATTGTTGCTTCAGACAATTCCTGTAGCTTTCTTCTCAAAGTATATCAAAGGAACAAATGAGCAAAAGACTTCGGCGAAGCTGAGATCAGATGCGTCGAAGATGACATGGGAAGTGAAGATAGAAGACGGCCGGAGAATAACTGATGGTTGGAAAGAGTTCGCTCTGGCACATGATCTTCGAGTCGGTGACATTGTCATTTTCAGACAAGAGAAAGACATGGCTTTCCACGTGGCACTGTTCGGACCCAGTTGCTGTGAGATTCAATATGAGCCTTGTTTTGACGACAAGAACAAGCTCGGTGAGTTGTGTTCTGTCTCTTTATGAAATGTGCAAGTTATGGATCAGTAAGTAGAGATTATCAGTTTAACTATGTGCCTGTGTGATTGATTTTTTCCAGATAAAATTCCAAAGAAGAAGAATCCAAAAAGAGAAGCAGAGTCTTCTTCCTGCTTTGTGGCTAATGTCTCGCCTTCGACACTACGCGATGACTCACTGGTATATATATACTACTCGTAATTTGAACAAAAGAAAAATGAAAATCATGTCTGAATTTAGATCAAGCTCATGTTGTAATGTAATGAATTTTCCAGAATCTTCCACGTAGCTTTGCGAGAGCAAATGGTTTAGACACAAGATGTGGTGAGATTGTTCTGATGAACGAGAAGGGTACATCATGGACTTTAGCTTTAAAACAAAAGCAATGTGGAACTACTTACATCAGAAGAGGGTGGAGAAGTTTCTGTAGTGACAATGGACTTAAAGCTGGAAGTTTCTTCACATTCAAACTGGTCAAAAGAGGAGCAACTCTGGTTCTACTAAAGTCTACAGAATCCGAAGAAGAAGAGTACTCAGAAGCTGATGAAGAAATCAAAGAAGAGAAAAGCTTCAAGAAGCCTAGATCGTTATGGAAAGCTTCATCCTCACCATCTGAAAACAGACTTGTGACATTAACTCTTAGGCCGTATAATGTCAAACGGTGTATACTGGTTAGTTTCATCATTCAAAGCCATCATTGTCTTTTTTTTTTTAACATTCTTTTTGAGTTTTGAATCTTTGTTGCAGTTTCTTCCAGTACCCTTCACGGAATTACATTGCATCACAGTTGAAACTAAAATGAGTTTGTTGGATCAAAACGGTGTGAAGTGGTCTACGAAACTGCGTTCTGAAGGTAAAAAATTAACATTGGTAGGAGGCTGGAAGGATTTCTTCAAAGCTAACCGTGTGAAGACTGGTGAATCTTTCATGTTGAAGCTGATTTGGGAAGAAGACACAAGCTGTGTTCTTAAGTTCTGCTCCAAGGTGAAGCCATAGACCCAAATGGATCAGTCAATGCTTAGCTCTTTTTTGTTTTCTTTTTGTTTTGTTTTAGGGGTAAGATACTAAGATCTAACAATGATCATCAGAAAGCAACATCATCATCTCTGTTAATGTTCTTCTTGTCTAACTTGAGTCTGTACATCCAAATCTGTTCTTCGCTTGATGATTCTTGGTGCTATCTTGGTGAGGTTCTCTGAGAACCGTCGTCGTCATATGAAGCTGTAGAACGTGTTCCAGATCACAGATGACATCCGCCATGCTCGGCCTCTCTGTGCCGTGATTCTTGAGACACTTCTCCACGATTTCCATGAATATCCTCAAAGAACTCCGCTCGATCTGACCTATCAGCTTCGGATCAATGATCTCGTCGGTGTCACCATTGGATCTGCGGAACATGGCCCACACCGCAAGGTTCACTTCCTCGTTAGAAAGACGGCGGTCAAGAGCCGGTCTCGCGCACAAGACCTCGAGGAGGACACCGAACGCGTACACATCTGACTTCTCCGTCAATATCTGCGTCTGCACATACTCTGGATCAAGGTAACCGAACGTTCCTTTGATGTTACTGCTGATATTGATCGGATCTTGATTCCGAACCGCGAGCTTCGACAGCCCGAAATCCGCAACTTTGGCCACATTGTTCCCGTCTAGTAATATGTTTGTGGACTTGACGTCTCTGTGGATGATCGCTTCCTCTGAGCCACTGTGGAGATAATGCAACCCTCTTGCTGCTCCCATGCAAATCTCCAGCCTCTGTTTCCATGTCAACGAAGGAAAGTCAGAGCCGTATAGATGCTCCTTGAGCGTACCTTTCTCCATAAACTCGTAGACAAGGATCATCTCCGAGTACTCATCGCAGTATCCCGATAGAGAAACGAGATGCTTATGCCAGATTCTTGACAGGACTTGAATCTCTGTTTGAAACTCCAAGATCCCTTGTACCGAACCGATCTTGCCTCTCTTAATAGCCGCTTTGCGTCCGTCTTGAAGAATGGCTTTGTAAACATCTCCGAACCCGCCTCTCCCGATCAACCACCGCTCGTCGAAGTTGTTCGTAGCTCTCAGAATGTCTTTGAAGGGAATCTTCAAGCCTGAGTTGTTGCTGTTGGAACTCTCAGCTCTGTACAATCTCAAAGGAATGACCTCAATGTTGGGATCATTCTTCTTCTTTGTTTCCTTGCGCTTCAAGCAAACCATAGACAACAAACTCAAGAACAGAACAAATGACGCCAATACGCAACCGGCGATGACGTAAACAAAGAAACTACTCTTGTTTGAAGATTTTTCCAAAAACTCCATCACTTCAAGACCATTCAGAAAACCAGAATATGTAGTTGAGTTCTTGTCACCTATAGTAACATTCAAGAGCCCAGAGGCATCGGAGAAACACACGAGATCGATATAAAACGGAGTCGCCAAGCCTATAGGCGTTACATCTACTCGCAGTTCACTGTTAAGATAGAGATAGAAATCAGATTGTGATACGTTGCTCACGATATCACAGAAGTGAACTCTGATCAAGTGTTTAGAGTTGCTCCCGACACTCAACGACCAAGAAACGTTCATCAACTGATCAGTCGAACTACGGTTCATCGTTTTAGCTGTCTGATAGACCAAATCAGGAGCTGTGAACGCCGTCGCTGATCCCGAACCGTAGTTAACCTTCTGTGTTGTTTGAATGTTCATCGCCGAGTCTTTCCGGTAGAGAAAGTCGTCGTCTTTTGACCAAGTCCTCCCCAAGGTGTCGTTTTCCGGCGTGAGTTTATCGCCTCCTACGTTTAACCTGTAAACCGTATGCAGATTCTTATCGGAGTCTGCAAGAATAGTTAGGTCGTCAGGAGCAGAGAACACTTCGATGGCGTTGATGAAAGCCACGGATGAACGATCGGGAACAAACCGGATTTTTAACTCCGGCGAGTCGATCATCAGGAGAAACTCCTCGACTCGTGGGGTGTCACTGAAGTTCTGAAGCGAGAAACTTTTCAAGTAGGAAGTAGCAGAGACGGTGAAACGAGCAGTTGAAAGCTCTGTTTGAGAAGAGAGAGCAGAGAAATGGAGACGCAGAAAGTGTAGACCAACAGGATCGATGTGGAACTTGTAGGAAGAAGGACGTGTGAAGATCCTAACCGTCCGATAGATTTCCGGGTAAGTGGACGATCCAGATTGGCTGCTGGTTTGAGTTCCTTTGTTGGTGAAGTTAACAGAGTTACCACCGGAGGACATATCTCCGATGAAAGTCTGGTTACCGTAAGTGACATTAGAATCTGAGCCACAATTGATGTAAAACTTCTCGGGACGAGAATATGTAGAAGTAGCAGAAAGAGTGAGACGTGGAAGAAGATGAAGATGAAGAAGAAGAGTAACTAGTACCATCGGCACAAAGAGAGAAACAGAGTCTCGGAAACAGAGTCTCTCCATAGCACAAAGAGAGAAACAGAGAGATAGTGAATCGTGAAAGTCAAGTATTTGAGGAAGAACGTTGGGATAATAATCATCCATGATTTGTTTCCACCATCGACCTTACTTCGTCTATCGATTGTCATTACTCTGTATCTCCTCCTTTTAGGAAAAACTAGCTTGAATTGTCTTTGATACTATATATGTTTGTACACACCTTTATTGTGAAATATACACATCTACTTTCATCAATCTCTGTTCTTTACTTCTTGCAACAAAGAAGATGAGATCAAAAGTAGAAAGAGATTATTGAGATTATTGCATGGTGGGATAATAAATATGTTATATGAAATTAATGTTTTTCATAAATTGATCTTGAAAATTCCAAAAAAAAAACAAAAAAATATACCCGAAATACCAAAAAGCAAATTTGCAAATCTCTTTTTTTACTATTGCAAATTTTGCGATTGGTGAAAGTCTTTGATGATTGAGAGTTTTTAAGTTTCTTTCTTTGGAACATCAAAAAGCAACTTTCATATCTTTTAATTTTGTTATAATTTAGAGCCAAAAAATTAGCTATATATTATAAAATTAAAATCCATAGGCATAAGAGAAACCTTACATAAGTGTAATCTGTAAATAGTCTAGAAAGGTGCCAATATGAAATCCATGAAACCTATTACATCGACGAGTAACTAGTCTTTATTATCATCTTCGATGATACGTGGAGGAGTCAAAGAATCAGTCAGAAACAGCTTCAGTGCAATCAGTAAGGCCAAGTATAGATTCCAATGATCTCGATACACAACGAAACCTAGCTACAGACTTTGCCGGAACTCGAGAGAGTATATCCATAAGGAGTTTAGGTGGGATCGAGACTGAGTCTTCTCTTACGGAGTTTGAAGGTTGTGTAATCACTAAACTCTCCGAGAACTGCTGCTCCAGATTCTTCATGGCCGCTCTTTCAAACCCTAGAAATATCTTGACACACACGAAAAGAAATCGACTTCTGCGGCTTCTCTTTATTTAAACTGGCTTTTATAGACATCAACGATCCTAAATGGGCTCTATTTAGGCCCAATACTTTATTCTAACCGACAAGCCGAGTTTTTACATTCTGAGATAATCTTGTAATCACCAATGGTTCATCGCCACGTCATGTTGGGAGGAGGTCGGATGAGTTTTATGAGGGAAAATGGTCTATAAACAAGGTGTGGTAAGATTGTTCTGCTGAAAGAAAAAGGTAAATCGTAAACTTTCTTTTTCTTTTCTTAATTAAAGATATATTTTTTATTTTTTCTTTTTCATTTATTTTTCCTCCATTTTAGAAATAGTAATATTTTCATTTTTAATAGAATTAGTAGATATAAAACATAAATTTTTTAAATTGAATCTAATTTTATTTACTTTTTCTTAATTGAAATATATTCCTTTTTTATTTTTCCTTTTCAAATTATTTGTTTCGTTTTTTTTATAAATAATATTGTTTCTTCTTTCCTTTTAAGATTTGTAATTTTTTTAATTATAATATACTTATCCACTACATATTATTTAGGAAATAACATTATTGAAAATAGCTGACTTATCAACACTACAGCCAAAATTAGTGCTTTTAATTAATTACATGTAAATATGACATGTCAAACTTCCTAAAATAAACAAAATATTTTGATTGGTTGAATTAATATTATAGAAATTATAGAATTAAAATATAAATAAACTAGATTATATTTATAACATTAAAATCAATAAATTTAAATTAACAGAATATAAAAGTTATTATAATTTCAAATTTTTACATATATTCATAATTTCATAAAATGTAATTACAAATTTTTTTCAATAATATATATATATATATACATTATAATTTCATATAAAAATAAAAAATAATACTAAATTATCCAACAAAATAGTAAAAATTCTATTTATTAATAATACTTGAAGTATGATATATTTTTATTTTGGAAAATTATTACTTTACAAAATATATTAATAACATCTAAACAAGTTTTAAATAAACAAATTATTAAATAATACAATTTTAAATAGAATATAATCATGATAAAAATAATTAAAAAAATAAAATATTAAAAATAATAAAAAATAATCAACTTTTATTGATTTTTTTTAAAAAAACGTAATTTTAAATATTTTTTCTTTTCGAACCAATATTTACTAAATGAATAAAGTATATACTAATTATCTTTTTATTGTTGTTTTCTAAAATATACATAATTTATGTTACCATCTCATCTTATCTATTATCATATTTTAAATAAAAATAAATTTTATATCATATTCATATATATATATATATATATATACATAAATTTATTTTCATTGTATATCAAAATTTTGAGAACATAAATAAAATAAAAAATAACCGAACGAAAGAACAAATTATAATAAGATGAAACAATATGAATAAGAAATAAAAATAGAAGTTTATAAGAATAAATCTCTCGTACTTTATTTTACAAAGTCACTTAAAAACTTTTTAACACGTAAAAGCCATATTTCGATTTTTTTACAAATACGCGTACATACATAAATATTAATTGTACATTAGTTGAAGTCACATGCGAACTTTTTCGTGCATGTATTTTGTTAAGATTGATTACAGTCTAATTTTTATTTTAATTATTATACAATTAATATTTTTTAAAAATATGTATCTATTCTAAGTGTAGTGAAGTGATTGGTATGTCCACACATGCGTGCCAACCATCCATCCGCTCTTAAGAATAAGTAAATATGTTAAAAACTATTTCAGTTTAATTTACAATAAATCAAGATAATATATACTTAAAATATATTATAAATTTATTTGCAAATTCATATTATGTAAGACGCAAAAAAGCATATTGTAAATTGTGTAAGGAGAAATAAAGCATATTATAAAAATATTCAAAAAATATTATATGAATTTAGTTATTATTTAACATAACTTTTATATTTGTTATTATATATTATTACAAGTATTATAATAATAAATTTTTTAAAATACATTGTTTTCAGAAAAAAGTTTGTGAAATATGAAAATAATATATATACAAACATACCAATGTTTAAAAAAACTAATCAATATTTAAATATTATAATTAACTATGTATATAAAAAAAATTATATCCGCACATATGTGCGGGTAATACCTAGTTCTATCTTAAACTAACAACTAGATTTTGGATTCGGGCATGCACAAATTTCTTTTTATAAAATATTTTTGGACCATAGCAAAAATAAGTTTCTATTAAACTTTTGTTTTAAAAAAATCAATTTATATTATTAAATCTAAAATTGTGGTCCAAACTGAATTTCTTTTATTAGATTATATAAACTATTTTTATATTTTTGGTTTTGTGTTCTTAAAATTATTTAGGCTTGATTTGATAAAAAAAATATTTTGATCAGCGGATTTTCTGTTAAATTTTGTAACAAATATTTTAGAATATTATGCTTTATAAAGCAAGAGAGATTTTATTTGTTTGTAATAAAGATTTCAATATTTACTTATGCTTTGTTTGTTTTTGCATCTCGATACTTATTTGGATGCAAATGCTCAGATATTGTTTTTTAAAAATATTTTTAAATCAGTATATGAATATTGTATCTTGATAAAAAATTAATAATATCTCAAAATTTGTATATTTGAAATACTAAAGAAATAGAGTTTGGATGCAGCATTTGAATCTCAACAATTAAAACACCAAAACACCTATTAACTAAAATCACAAAATAAAGTTTTTTTTTGTCAAAACCATAAAATCAGAGTTTTCTATCAAAATAAAAAGCTATTTTTTTCCCACAAAATCGTAAAATCAGTTGTTGTACCAAAATCGGGAATTTATGTAGAGACTGTAAAAAGTGTATCTTCTATCAAACCGTATTTTCCTGCCAAAACTGTAACCCCATATTTTTTAACAAAACCAAAAATTATGTTTCCCTCCAACACCAGAAAACCGTTTTCTATGAACAAATTTCTAAAATTACGTGTTTTAATTAAACCTGCAAAATTGTGTTTTTCGTCAAACCCGCAAACCTGCATTTTCAATAAAATCCATAAAACCACATTTTTCCATCAAAACCTATTTAACCCGCTAAAACATGTAAACCTCGCCAAATCACATTTTCCGTCAAATCCACAAACCCGTATTTTTTCGTAAAATTGTAAAATCTGTAAAATCATGTTTTACGACCAAATTTCTAAACTCACATGTTTCTGCCAAACCTGAAAAATCGAGTTTTCAAACGCACAAATCCGCATTTTCCCATATGACTACATATTCCCGATAAAATCTGTAAAACCCATCAAATCCGCAAAATTGCATTATTCGCATTCTGCAAACCCGTGTTTTCCTGAAATTCCTCTAAATATGCAAAATCGTGATTACCACCAAATTTCTAAAATCATGTGTTTCTGCTAAATCTACAAAAGCACATTTCTTGTCAAGTCGGTATTTTTTCGTAAAAATATATTTTTCGCTAAAACTCATAAAATCCGCTAAAACTTGTAAAACCCGTAAAATCTACAAAATTGTGTTTGTCAAATTTCTAAACCCATGATTTTCCCAAAAAAACATTAACAAACAAAAAAAAAAGATTATTTACATAATATTTTTTCATAGTATGTATATATGTAACCATAAAATAATGATTACATATTCACTATTGACTACAAATTGTCACATTTAGTAAGTATCATAGTAGCTTTTAGATATTTTAAAGTAGTGATTCTCTTTTAATATTATAGAGAAAAAATTGATTATAATATAATATATATAATTATATTAGTTAATGATGCCATATATATGTGGTAATTATGTTAAGATATTATGAAAGATTTTAAATAAATTTATTTGAATTTTATTAGTATTAGATATAATTTATTGATATTATCTGTTAATAAACTAATATAATTTAATTTAATTTAATACATTTGTTAACAAATTAATGATATGACAAAATTACTCTTAATAAAATAATTAAATTTTCTAGTGAATTCAATTGCATATTTAGTAAATACCATGTTAGTTTTTGGACATTTCAAATTAATGATTCTCTTTTAATAGTATGGATGGCTTCATACAAAAAATTTACTGTATTTTTATTTGTGATCATAATGATATCTTGGTGTTTTGTGAATTTGGTTGAGCAAGAAGTTTGAATGACTAATATTGCTATGATAGAATTAGAAACATACATGGAAGACTCAGATGATGTGATGTGATCGTATATTTGAGATATGGATCTATAGTAAAAGGTAACATTCTAAAATGCAGTTCCAAAAACCTAAAGGAATGTGTGTCAAAATTTCGGCTAATCATATAGTCGAGGTTGTGAATTATCTACAAGATATCATAGTATTCGTAATAAATAATTTTATATTCATATTTTAATATTTAAATTATTCATTTAATTATAAAGTTATTTTGTTTTATATAAATTGTTCTCTGTTTTTTTTATTACGAAATAATTAAATATAAGTTTACTTTTGAAATTATTATTTGAGAAAAAATAGTAAGTATATTTTTATGTTGGATATTGTCTCCGATTCTATGTACTGTATATGTTCTGTAACTTGTACAAACCTTTATTGTGAAATTCTATACAGAACTCTTCTTTCATCATCTCTGTGTTCTTGTAACAAAGAAGTTGAGACCGAAGGAGAAGATAAACCAATATATATTGGATATATTTTTAATACAAAGTATAACATATAACATACATTAACAAAGTATAATATTCTTAATCTAATACTGTATATGTAAAAATGTTTCCAACATCAAGAATCTGTATGTTCATATCTGTTCTTCACTTGTTCCTCCTCTACATTCGAGTTGGAGCTAAGCGAGTCACTCACCATTAGCCTCGGAATCACCAGTGAGCCATCTCCTCCGCAGCTGGAGACTGTGGCGGCGCTATCTTCGTGATTCGTCATCATCATCTGAAGCCGTAAAATGTATTCAAGATTCCAGCTCACATCCGCCATGCTCGGCCTCGCGTCTCCGGAATCCTTCAGACACTTCTCCGCGACTTCCAAGAATTTCCTCAAAACGTTCGGTTCGACCTGACCTGTCAACATCGGGTCTATGATCTCATCGATCATCCCTTTGTCTTTGCAGGACATAGCCCACTCTGCTAGATTCGCTTCCGCTTGAGGGCGCCGACGATCGAGAGCCGGTCTAGCGCACAAGACCTCGAGAAGAACGACTCCGAACGCGTACACATCCGATTTCTCAGTCAAGACGCGTGTGTACCGGTACTCAGGGTCGAGGTAACCGAATGTTCCTTTGATGTCGGTGCTGATACTGATGACCGGTTCTTGATCACGTACCACGAGTTTCGAGATCCCGAAATCCGAAATCTTGGCCACATTGTTCTCGTCTAGTAATATGTTTGTGGATTTGACGTCTCTGTGAATGATCGCTTCCTCTGAGCCACTGTGGAGATAATGCAACCCTCTTGCTGCTCCCATGCAAATCTCTAGCCTCTGTTTCCATGTCAACGAAGGAAAATCAGAGCCGTATAGATGCTCCTTGAGCGTACCTTTCTCCATAAACTCGTAGACAAGGATCATCTCCGAGTACTCATCGCAGTAGCCAGTTAAAGAAACGAGATGCCTGTGCCAGATTCTTGACAGGACTTGAACCTCTGTTCGAAACTCCAAGATTCCTTGTCCTGAACCGGTCTTGCCTCTCTTGATAGCCACTTTTCTTCCGTCTGGGACAATGGCTTTGTAAACATCTCCGAAACCGCCTTTCCCGATCAAACACCGCTCGTCGAAATTGTTCGTAACTCTCAGAATGTCCATCAAGGGAATCTTCAAGCCTAAGTGTAGGTCGTGTAATGGCGAATTGTTGTTCGAGTAGAATGCTCCATTGTGGGAACTCCCACCACCTCTTTGCAATGGCAAAGGAGAGGATTCCGTGACCTCAACGTCTGGCTTCTTCGTCTTCTTCTTCGATCCCTTCCGCTTCAAGAAAAGTATAAACAACAAACCAAAGGCAAGAAACGATGCACCAGCAGCACAACCAGCAATGATGTAAACCAAGAAACTACTTTTGTCTGAAGGTTTTTCCAAAAACTCCATCACCTCAAGACCATTCAGAAAACCAGCATCTTTACCAGGCTCCTTATTACCTAAGCTAACGTTCAAGAGACCAGAACCATCAGAGACATTCACGACGTCGATATAAAACGGACTCACCAACGTCCTAACCTGATCCCACGGGTCTACATATATCCGCCAATGCCCGTTTACGTATAGATAGAAATCGGAGTTTGAGTTTCTTGCTTCGTTCTTGATATCACAGAAGTGAGCCCTGATGAAGTGCTTGGAGTTGCTTTTGACCTTAAACGACCAAGTAACGTTTAACATTATCTTGTCCATCCCAAACGTAATCATCGTTTTAGCTGTCTTGTAGACGAGATCAGGAGCAGTGGGTTCTGTCCCTGACGCTGTCTTCACTGGCTTTTTTCTTGATTGAATGTTTCTTGCAGAGTCTTTTTGGTAAAGAAAGTCATCGTCTTGCGACCATGTTCGTCCAAACTTGTCGTTTTCCGGCGAGGTTTTCTTGCCTCCTACGTTTAACCTGTAAATCGTACGCAGGTTCTTGTTTGACTCTGACGGATTCGTGAGGTCATCATGAGCAGAGAACACTTCGATGGCGTTGATGAGAGCCACTGATGAAGGATCGGGAACAAATCGGATTTCGAAGTCCGGCGAATCGATCATTAGTAGAAACTCCTCAACTCTTGGAGTCTCGTTGAAGTTCTGAACCGAGAAGCTTTTGAAGTGATGAGTAGAACCAGAAGTAGCAGAGACGGTGAAGCGAGCGGTTAAAAGCTCTGTTTGAGAAGAGAGAGCAGAGAAATGGAGACGCACAAAGTGTAGACCAACGGAATCGAGATGGAACTTGTAAGAAGAAGGACGTGTGAAGATCCTAACCGTCCGATATATTTCCGGGTAAGTGGACGATCCAGATTGGTTGCTGGTTTCAGTTCCTTTGCTGGTGAAGGAAACAGAGTTACCACCGGAGGACATATCTCCGACGAAGGTTCGGTTACCGTAAGTGACATTAGAATCCGACCCACAATTGACGTAAAAATTCTCGGGACGAGAATATCTAGAAGAAGAAGAAAGGGTGAGAGGGGGAAGAAGAAGAATAAACACCATCGTCGTAAAGAGAGAAACAGAGTCTCGAAAACAGAGATCCTCCATAGCTTTGAAAACAGAGTAAAAAATTGAAAGTCAAGCCCTGCAAATGAGGGCAATGGATGAAAATACATGTGGTCTATGTAAAGAGGGCTTTGATGAAAGAAGATGAGACTGAAGGAGAATGAGAGAACTGAATTTATTGGCGGTGACAAATAAGTCAATGAAGAAGACTGGCGTTGACTTTTCAAGTCTACGTTTTTTTGTCTAGAGAAAACAATCACTCTGAGTCTTTTTTAGTTTTTGGTTTTTCAGTAGATTTTAGTTTTGAAAGCATCTGGCCCAAATTGTTTACATGAGATGATTAACTTTAAATTAGTACAATGGGAAGCATGTGGCCCAATCTCTAATTACGTTGGGAAGTATCCGGCCCAATTCTGCAATCACGCATACCGGCCCAGTTCTCTTTCGATTTGTTTTTATACTTTACCAGGTCACATAAATAAAATCTCTTAAAGAGAGTAATTTACAAGAAAAATTGGTAAGAAAATTTAATTAAAATATAAAATAGTCAAATAGATTGAAGTGAAAAGTGACACTAATTTGCGACTGATGAGTGAGCCTCTTAGAGAGCGATATACAATAGACTGATCACCTAAAACTTAGTTGGCTAATTACATCTTAATTTAAACAATTATCAAAAAAGTTAAAAGACATATTACACCAATGTTAGTTAAGGCTTTTTCCGTAAAAAGAAGAATCTGCTATATAAACAGAAAACTTATCAGACAATAGTACTTCAATCTGCTACATAAACATTAATGACAATTGTCCTTTGATCCAATCATATATTCGTGCAAGTTTAACTGATGAACAAGGCTCCAACAATTTTTTTTTTTTTTAAATCAATTTAGGGAATTAGGTTTTATCATCATCCACCAAATAATTAATTATCAAATTCATATGACAATAGTAATTCTTACACTTTTAGAACTTGTGTGATACGAATTAAGCGCCAACTACTATTTTGTTGTTAGATTAATATATAAAACAAAATGAAAAAGGAACAAAGATTTTATTCGACAAGCTAATTGTTAGTTTAGAGTCAATTTCCACTTTAAAAGAAACCAACCTCTTAACTCAAAAGATAGAGATGGTAAGGTAAACTACAAAACAAAGCACTTCTTAAAGTTGATTAGATTGTACACTTAAACTCAATTAATTATACATTAAGCATAAAGCATTCCTGTTAATCACTCTTTGAATAAAAAATAATAAAAATAACTCTTACACTTTCAATAAAAATTTAATATAGAGATGGTAAGGTAAAAAGCAGTTCCTAAAGTTGATTAGATTGCATACTTAACTCAGTTAATTATTCATTACGCATAAAGCATTCCTACTAATCACTCTTTGATTAAAAAAACAAGCTTAACTTTTAAAAAGACTAGAATTCCAAGGTCCATTTTGTAAAGATTAAGCATTCCTACAAATACACTCTTTATATACAAAATTAAAAAAATTAATTAATAAACTATCAGCTTAAGTGTTTTAAAATATATATTAGAATTTCGAGGTCCATGAAATTCATAAACATGTTTACCTATATAATAAATTAACTTTTTTTTCATAAACATATTTATATTATAGCGGCGATTTAAATAATCTCGTACGATCCAACGTTCATTAAGCGTACGTGGCCCATTTCGATCAGATCCTACCCGACACATACTCTCTCTACAGTCTCTCACACTCTCTCTCTAGACTCTCACTGTCTCACACTAAACATTCTCTCTCTACAGTTGTTTTCGAGTAATCTTAACTTTGCCAAATAGTCCCTTTTCTTCCTTAACCTTTCATTTGTCAACAATACCTCTCTGCATTTTAGTCCTCTTCAATCTCTTCCTCTGTCTTCTCTGTTTTTAATCTCCATTGTTGTTTCCTCGAGACGATCGGAGTTTGATTCGAGTGATTTTTGCTTTAAGGTGAGGAAAAATTTTGTTTTTTTTTTTTCTGTTGGTTTTAGGAAAGTTTGTGTTTTTTTCATGGGCTTTCTCCAAATCTTCTTAATGTGGCTAAAAGAAAATTTTGACTTTATTGATTCGTCATGGGTTTTCTCTTAAAGTCTTCAACTTTATGAACTGTTTTGTTTTTTAGTGTATTGTGTGCATGTAGAAGCCATTGATGGAGCTATCTCGGGCTTTATCTTTATGCATTTACGGAGATTTGTTTCTAATTTGGGATTTTTGTGACATATTGATGGGTTTTGTTTTGTTCTTCACTCTCAATCTGAGATTTGAGTCGCAATCAACTGTAAATGTGGTCCATTTCAAAGAAATGTGGGATCGGAGGGAATCAAACAAAATAAAAATCTCAACTTTTTTTTCCCAGTCTTATGGGTTTTGTCTATGCAAAGCTTTTTCTAATGTCTTTATGTTTTCTTTCTATGGTATAGTGTATCGTCAAAGATTCAAGAGTAGTTGTGTGGCTTGTTGGGGTAATAAATGGACCATAAAGCATGGCCTTGGAAGAAGAAATCAATGGAGAAAACCGTTGTCGAAAGCAATAGCATTTACTCCAATGGCGAGGTAAGTGGATGTGATGATGATAACAATTTTGATGTTTGATGTTAGGTTGGAAAATGGATGTTATTGACTCATTTATGTCTCTGCTTGAGACTCAAGTGTTGTTTAGTTTCCTCTTGATGCTATTTTCTTTTGACAAATGTAATGTAATTTGAAACACCATTGATTTGTGATAGCTAAGATTTAGCTGATGAGTTTGGTTTTGTTTTTGTCAATCTTTGCTGATCTTGAGCTTGATTGTTCTTAAAATTAGATTGAGAAGCTTGTTGCTGACAAGATCGAGCTGGAGAATTGCCTTAAAAGTCTAACTGATAAGCTTACCTCTGTGGAAGCTGAGAGCAATAAGCATAAGACTGAGACACAAGAAGCACTAATTGGTAACTTCACTGAATCTTAAGCTGTTCTGAATCCATCTGTTGATTTTTGTTCCTGTTCATGGTCTCATGTATAGCTTCCTGTTCCATTTGCATTGTTGTGTTAACAGGGTGGGAGAAGACGAAAGCTGAATCAACATCTCTCAAGAAGAAGCTAGAAGAAGCTCTGAATGAGAAACACAGGAGCGACGAGAGGTCGAGTCACACGGATGCTGGTCTAAAAGAATGTATGCAGCAGCTTCGCTTTGTTAGGGACGAGCAGGAGCAAAGGATGCATGATGCTTTGACAAAAGCATCACAGGAGTACGAACGAAGATTAAATGTTCTAAAGACTGAAATGGTAGGTACTGGTAAGAGACTTGCAGAAGCAGAAGGCGAGAACACTCAACTCGCAAAGGCTTTGTTAGCAAAGAGCAAAACCGTTGATGATTTAAACAGAGAGAGGGACCGTATTGAAGCTGATTTCAATGCTTTGGTGAGTAGTTTAGAGTCGAAGGAGAAAGAAAACGTTTCTCTGAGATATGAAGTCAGAGTGCTGGAGAAAGAGCTTGAGATTCGTAATGAAGAGAGAGAGTTTAGTCGTCGAACAGCTGAAGCATCTCATAAACTGCACTTGGAGAATGTCAAGAAAGTTGCAAAACTCGAAGCAGAGTGTCAAAGGTTGAGGATACTTGTCAGGAAACGGTTACCGGGACCTGCTGCTCTGTCCAAAATGAGGAATGAAGTAGAGATGTTGGGAAGGAGAAGGGTCAATGGCACGATGATCGATTCCGAGAAGATCAGTAACCTCACTGAGCAAATATGCTTACTGGAAGAAGAGAACAAGACTCTGAGGGATGCGTTGAACAAGAAAGTCAGTGAGCTTCAGTTTTCAAGAAACATGTATTCTCGAACAGCGTCAAGGCTACTAGAATTCGAGTCTCACCTCGAAGAATCTTCTAAAGGCACAACAAACATTGAGCCAAGCAGGAGCAGCAATGTGTCACATGAGGTCTCTCTTGCATCACTATCGGAGTTCGACAACGATGATAAAGTTAGCTGTGCTGATTCTTGGGCTTCTGCTTTGCTTTCAGAGCTGGAGAATTTCAAGAACAAGAAGCAAACGGGGTCGAGTTTGGTCAGAACACCTAAAGCTTCAGAGATGAAACTAATGGATGACTTTGCTGAGATGGAGAAGCTTGCAATGGTTACAAGTACAATCGATGGAAGCTCTCCTGTCTGTTCGTCTGATTCCATTTCAGCTTCTGGTCCGGTAGAGAATGAATCTAATGAAACTTCATCTCCCCAATACATCAAGTCAGATTTAGTGAGCAAATCTCTTCACATTGTCTTGAAAGCGATACTGGAGCATAAGCGAATCACGCAGAGAAACACCGATGAAGTTCTTGAAGATATCAGAAAAGCTCTGTTAGGTGTAAACCATTCAAGCTTAAAACAGACAGAGACTCTCACTGTGGAGGATAGAACAGACATGGAGTGTGATATCAGCAAACCGATTCGAAGAATCGTGGAAATTATCGAAGGAGTCAGCTTAAAAGACGAGAAGAGGCATGTGTCACAAGGAGAATCAGAAAGGCTTTCGGGTTACACTGCTCGTGTCTTGCAATGGAAAACTACAGAGCTAAGTAGTGTATTGCAGCGGTTTCTTGAGACTTGTTACGGTCTATTAGAAAGAAAAGCAGACATGAATAAGTTTGCAGAAGAGTTAAGCTCTGTGATGGAATGGATGGTGAACCACTGTTTTTCTCTTCAAGATGTTTCGAGCATGAGAGAAGAGATCAAGAAGCAGTTCGAATGGGATGAGTCACGGAGTGGAAGCGAGGTTGATATTAGTATAGTTGGTCAGGTTTCAGAAGCAGATAAGCTTAAGACAGATGAAGTTTCATCTTTGGCTTGCAAGAATCACAAGCTTGAAGAAGAGGCAGAAGACAAGACAACAAGGTAATGTGAATGCTTTAACGACTTTGATCAATCAAAGGATTTTATCTCTCTGATGACACCAATGGTTTTCTTATTGCAGTGATTCAGCGAACGAGCTCAAGCTGGAAGAAACACAAAACATGCGAACTGTAAGTAATTAGCACAAGATCAGTCTCTTACATTTTAAATTGTTTCTTTCCAAGAACAATCTTGATTTTCTTGGGTTTGATAATTCTCAGGAACTGGAGATAACTGCTGCTTCTGAGAAGTTAGCCGAGTGTCAAGAGACAATTCTAAACTTGGGAAAGCAGCTCAAAGCATTGACTGACTCAAAGGAAACAGCTTTACTCTCAGAGAAACTCACACCAGACAACTTAGCAACTTCACAGCCTTCACAAGAGACAACAAAGCCAGAGAAGAGGTTGACTACACAAAGATCATCTCTTTTGGATCAGATGAAGGCAGAGGATCACGACACTGGAGGAGAATCCAAGGATGAGAAACCTCATCAAGCAGCAGAGAAAACCGGGAAAGGAGGCGGTTCTGTCTACAACGAAACCATCGAGGCGTTGGAACAGATACTTCTCTCAGACAAGAAAAGCAAAGGCTCAGAGACAAACGGCTTCGCCATTGTTCCTCAGAAAAAGAGAAACGGAGCAAAGAGCCTCTGGAAGAAGCTGTTGGGGAGGAAAAACAAAAGCAAGAAGAGCAAGAAGCTCCCTAATCCATTTGCCACCTAATCAAGAAGATGTTGTCACTGTCATCTAGACTATAATCTAATACCTTAATCATGTTCTTTTTATGTTACTCCGTACTAAGAAAACTAAACTGTCATTTTTCATAGATCTTTTGGCAGTATATATATATATATATAAACTTGTAGTCTCAGAAAAACGTACAATCAATTTCACAACAACAAAAACAAAAGTGAAGAAAAAAGAGCTGCAAGAAGTCACTTGTTTAATTTTCTCTGGCTAGATTCATTCTCTTTGTTGTGTCACTGCACCTTGCTGGATTTGAACCAAACTTGGGACATAGTTGAAGATAAATGGCCGCCATGATTTGTCTGTAGACTTCACAAAAGGGACTTGTGTGCAATTTTCTTTATCCTCACCGATAATGTGCACCATGTTCTCGCAATACCAATCAGCTGATCTGCAATAGACGGCCACTTTCTTCTCCTCGTCGAGTGAAAAAGTCACGAAAAAAGGGAAACGTAAGTCGAAATTAGATAAATCCACTGTAAAAGATTTGGTCCACAACAATGTAGTTTCAGTATCAGAATCAAATTTATTATTGGTCACCCACAGCTCCATCTTTGATTCAAGAAAGTTCTGATGTAACGCAGAGAGTTGTTGTTGTTCTTCTTCTTCTTCTCTAACAAGAGATAGAACAACCACACATGGCGAAACTGGAGCAAGATTCAAACGTATGAATCTCTCTCTTGTGAAATCAAAACAGAGCAAGAACAAAGACTCGACGCCTTTTCTATCTGAAGCAACCCAGTAAGTGTTTCCTTTCAAAGACAAGCTGCAGCCAATTCGATGTATGTTGCAGTCTTGATCTATATCACCGAGAACCCTCCATGAACCTGTGCTAAACTCATACATCTCATACTCAACAATTGGTTGTTTTAAGTTGCGATTATCCCAAAACCTCAAGATTTTGTAGCTACTGGGTGAAGATTTGCTCTTGTTTTGGTAACCTAGAGCAAACCTAGAGTGTTTCTTGTAGCTGTAGTTACCAGTTTTGGATTTGATCCATATTGTTTCCCCTAAACACGGATTCGAAACAACGAGTCTATTGCACCTGGTGGTGCATAACAACAAACCCTGGCAGTGAAAGACTTCGGCTATATCGACCTTTAGGTCAAGTGCATCCTCCTTAAACTCTACAGATGGAGCATCATCGATCTCTACGTTCATCGGACAAACCCTAAACTCCTTCAACATGAGGCGGAGAGGCTGCTTTGGAGCTTTACGATGGTGCTTTTCGGCGAATCCTCCATCTTTCGATAAAGCTTTCCATTGTTTGCAAGTAGGTCGCAACCGTTTCAGGGGTATCGCCGGAACCCTAGAGAGTATCTTCTCTACCAAATCATGCGGAAGATCGGATATCATCAACGTCATTGTGATACAGTATCTCCCAAGGAAGAAGAAACCAAGAATAGCTCTCTCTGTAAGTAGGGTTTTGGGGTGGTTTTATTTTTTATTTATAGATTTATTTCTATCGTAAGCAATATTTATTATTTAATTTTAACTAGGTGATCATTCTGCATTTTGTACATGCTATAAAATATTTTATATGTTTAATATATGTTTAATATTGTATATTAAAAATGTTGTATTTGTACATTATTAATTATGTAATAATAATAATATTATGTAATTATTTAATAATAAAAATAACGATAAATCAAATGAAAAATATTATAGATTTCAATAAAAAAATTTAAATTACTTTTTTAAATAAAAAGTGTAAATATAATAACTAAATAAACTAAAAAATATTAAAATATATAATAATTTATTTAATTTTTATAGTTAGTCAGATAATTTTTTTTATAGATATTATTAGTTATAATATTTAAGTTTTTATTAATTTTCTTATATATTATGTAAATATTATGTTTTTATACATATACAGTTTTATTGTTTAACAACAATCACACAAACGTTTCATATCTTTTTGTGTTTTTTGAAAAAAAAAAATTTCTTGCATTTAGAGTGATATATAATTTTAAAAATTAAAGTTTATATTAAATATAATTGACTTCTTATTGTATGTTTTGAATATTATATATACTATGCTTTCTTTTATTCTTACACAATATATATATATATATATATATATATATATATTTTAAGTATATATTTTCCTTGACCTATTGCTAATTGAACCAAAATAGATTTTACCATATTTACTTATCCTAAAAGCGGGTAGATGGTTGGCCTGCACATTCGTGCGTACCAACCACCTCACCGATCTTAAAACATATATAAATTGGTTGTAAAATATTTCCTCTGTTTCTTAAGAATGATATTTGAGATTTTCGCACTTATTAAGAAAAATATTGAAGTGACATATTTGTCTTTTATTTTTTACTCATATAAAATAAACAAATTGATAAAAAAAAATTTAAGGATAAAATTAAAAATACTTAATAAAAAATATATTGAAAAATGAAAAAATTCATTTTTCTGAGAATGCATTCACATATAATATAATTTTTTTTCTTATGTGAAAATGAAATTTATTTAGTTTTAACTCAACCAATTAAAATATTTCGCTTATTTTAGAAAATTTGCCATCTCACATTTTCGGATCATCATTAATTTACACTAATTTTTATTTTCCTTACTACACATCAACATTTTTTATTAAATCTGCTTCTCAAATAATATATAAAATTGAATCACAAGATTTTAATTATAATTCATTTAATTTATTTTTTTAATAAATCTTATATGTAACTAATTATATTCACTAGAAACTCTATAATAGATCTGTACCTAACTATGAGTTTTATTTATAGACTAGTGTGTGATCCGCGCTACGCGCAGAATTTTATACTACTATTAAAAAATTAATATTTAGTTATTAATATTTGTATGTTGGGTTCATAAATAACATTTAATATCTAAATTTGAGTATACATATTTAAGAGTAAAATTTAAATAGTTATATATTTAATATTGGTCTCATTTAATAATTTTATATGTAAAAATTATATTAAATATGATACTTACATTTCTCTATTTTTAAATTTGAATCGAATGTTTATACATAAAACAGTAATCTTACTTCATAAACGGCTAATGTTTTTTAAATATATTTGCATAATATTAATCTTTTTCATAAAAATTTCAAATAATTAATGTTAATTCAAGATGTATTAATCTCTCTTTCTCTCATAAATGTAACATACACAAAATTAGACGTAATTTTAATTTAACCTTCGCTATTTTTTCTATAATTATTTTTTCACTTGACCTTTTGAACGTGTTTTCTTAGTGTAAGTGTTGTCAAATTTTTATAAAACTTTGTTTATTTTATATTTGAAAATTGTGTTGAATATGCTGTCTGAAATTTAGAATCTCATTCGCTTAGATACTGAATTCTAACAATGAAAATGTATGTTTTTGTTTTTTTTCTTAATAACCTATATAAGTTTATAGCATACTTTTAATTAATATTTATTGACAAAAAAAAAATTAATACATCTTTTTTTTTCTAACTATAATTATGACATAACTGCAATTATTATAATAATTTTCTTACATAATTTAATCTTTGTTCTCTTCTCTTCTCTCTCTCTCTCTCTCTCTCTCTCTACTGTAAGTGTTGTACTCAAAACTTTGTCCATTTTCTATTCGAAAATTATGTTGAACATGCTTTCTAGAATTCCAATCACTTAGACATTGAATTATAACCATGAAAATGTATGTTTTTGTTTCTTTCTTAGAACATATATTAATTTATAGCATATTTATATATAATCTTTGTTGAAAAAAACCAATATTTTTTTCTCTAACTATAAATAGGACATAACTATAATTATTAAATTAAAGTTTCTTTAGATCACTAAACTTAAATTTTAGTTATTATTATAGTTAATTTAATAAATTTAAATAGAATATGAAAAGTTATTCAATCAATAAATTTATGTCATATTCTATTAAATCCTAAACTTATCTTTTATGATTAAATAACTTTTTATATTCTATTTAAATTTTATTACACTAATAAATGTTAGTTATTATTATAAGAGTTGAAGGATTGAAGAACATAAAACATAATAAATCAAATAAAATTTAGTAAAAATACTTGATGATGTGTCACCATTTGGAGATAGGAGTGGACGAGGTGGCAGCCAAAGAAGAGAGTATTTATCTGCGCTATGCTGCGAGATATTTTCTAAATTTTATATATATTTTTAGTATAATAAAAATATTTTTATAATATAAATGAGTATTATATTTATTTTTATTAGCTTAAATTATGTATTTATTTTTTTTTAAATCTGATTAAACATTATATATTCTATTTTTTTATTTTTCAAAATTATAATCTATTATAAAATTTGTTTAGCTAACTATCTATAAATGTATATATAAAAATAAAATAATACGTTTTTAAGTACATTCATGCTAATGGCAAATGTAATTTATTTTCTCTACTAAATTGCCACTTGATCCTCCTTTGAAAATATATAAAGAAAATTGCCATTTAAAAAAATATATTAATTAATATAATTATTTTAAATTATAAAATTTATTTACTTATTAAATCTTAACTATTATTTGAGAAGCATGTTTAATGAAAATTTTTGATGTGTCACCACCTTAGCAAAAGTTAGTGCAAAAGAATGCCACCTCATAAATATGACATTGCAAATTTCCTAAAATAAACGAAATATTTTGATTGGTTAAGTTAAAACTAAATAAATCTCATTTTTAAATAAGAAAAGTTTATATCATATATGAATGAATTCTCAACATATAGTAATAATTGAAAATTATAAATTAAACAAAAAATAAATGGATAGAATAATAAATTATAGTATTCTGTTAGCTAACTTTTTTTATTATAATACTATATATATGAATTAAAAGTAGAATGAAAAATAAAAATGAATCTTTACGACTTAGGTTTTATGTAAAAATCTCATGCTATATTTTTTGTTTAAAGCATCTTCAACCCACCTTTATTTTAAATCTTCTAATTTAGGGGAAAAAGAAAGGTTATTATTTTTTTCTAATTGTAGAGGAAAAAATAACATTTTTTTTTCCTGTAAAATAGAAATATGTTAGAGAGAAGTTCACTTATATTTTAGAGGAAAAAATAGAAAAACACATTGGAGATGATATTAATGTTTAATATATTATTAAATGGTAAAAAAAAGTATGAGTCAAAGAAGACAAAAATATTAAAAAAT